AGTTAATAAAAGAGGATAGTTGCTAAGAAATAGTAAATGTTTAACAGTTACTAGGATATTGTAAATAAACAAGTTGTTGCTAAGAGAATGTAAACAAGGAGACAGATGTTAGATTTTCGGGAGCTGCAGAAAAGTGCGGACGTGTTTCTGCTAGCTCAGCGGTGTACCATTTAAACGAGCTTGTTCTGTGTTTTACCCTTCAGTGGTTGAGTGAAATAAAGTTTCTATTGTGTTCTAAGAAGTGTTCTTTCTTTCGTGCACGCCGTTTGTGACGGAAAGACCGTTCGCGGGCGCAACAGTATATATATATTATTATTATTATTTTTTTTTTAAATTTATTTTTGCTTACAACAAATAAGAAAAATTAATTAAAGGTTAAATATATTATAATCAACTTTTCACTTTATAAAGGTCTTTACAAACTAAAAAAAGAAAAGAAATGGATTTATTCTGTAAAATTTCATAAACAAATCAACTCTTAAAGAATAGAGAGAAACTCTTAAATCGAGACAAAGAAGTCGATGTAATCGTGTAACGATTACATATTTATTTCTAGTACCAGAGAATGTCTGTAAGATCCGTTCTGCAAACTTATTTTTGCAGAACGAGAAACACCCAGATCCTCAGACGAGCAATTTTGAGAGAAGCGAGAAATCAGCTCCGTAGAAGCACTTTTGATTCTCACTCGAGTTTTCGCTGCGTAGCAGCACGTGTGAAACTCACGAGAGTGTTGCTGCGTAACAGCACGTGTGATACTCACGAGAGCCTTGCTGCGTAACAGCACTTGTGATCCTCAAAAGATCCTTGCTGCGTAGCAGCACGAGAGTTAAACCCGCGGCACACGGCACTATTTTCTCTGCTGGATTGCTAACTAGATGTGCGTACTTACTATCGTGTAGACAGCAGTGCTGGCAGTGCTACTGGCCATATTGTTGGCTTGGCTTCAGACGATGCGGGCTTCCGTACTGGCTAAGCAAACTGAAGTAAATATGGAGCATGCCATTGCCACTGCAGTGCAACATAAAAAAATGCAATTGCATTATTTTTAATTTTTGCTTTGCAATTTGCTATGGACATCATATTTGTTAATGTATAACAATACTAACACCAACCAAGAGAATACTTTCACGTAACTTAACTTAACCTAACTAATGAGGTTGTGTCATGATTGGCTCTTGCAATGAGCCAGCACAGAACCACGCAAGAAAAATAGCACTTGTTTTATCATGGAAATCCAGCATATCAGTCGGTAGCGTGACCAGTAGACACACAATTTCCAGAATAGCAAAATTGCCAGCACAGGCGCACGTAAGCAATCCAGCAGAGAAAATAGTACCGTGTGTCGCGGGTTTTACTCACGAGAGTCTTGCTGCGTAGCAGCACGTTGCAACAAGAGAAAATGGCTTCCGCAGTATGCTCTTAGAAAGAAGCCCTTCTTACTTGATACGAGCGTATGAATCGAATGAGATTCCTGAATCAGGGACTCGTCAGTCCGTCAATCCTTAAGAAAGAGTATAGAGATGCACGTTTTGCTTCGTATCAAAACCCGTTGTTTCTGAAAGACACCGACGACTATCGTCGCGAAAGAAGAGGGCATACTACTGTGAAGCCCCCTACCGTCGCGAATGCGAGGTAGGTAAAATGCAGGAACGCCTTGTAATAATCTTCGAATCATGCTTTTCAAAGCGGTAACTTTAAACAGTATTACCTCATATACATGCATAATAAGTTTAAATAATGATAGCATCGTGCGCGCACGGCGTGATGCTCACAACGTGACTGCGTAATGCGACTCATTGCGCCCTCACGCATGTCTCCATCACGTCATGAGGGCAGCGTGATGATAGCACTGTGCGCGCTGTTACGAGCGTATAGCTACGTAATAGATTATTTAGAATAAGTCGGGACACGTTTGTGGAAAAAGTCTTTATTCGGTGTTGCTGGTTTGAGCTTTGATCGAGAACTGAACTGGCGAGAATGATCTTCGTTTAAGGTGCTGTAGGAAAATCGTAGCGGCGGAATGTTTATTGGAAGGAAGCGGTTTTGT